CAGAATTACACAAACGTTAATTTGTTTCATAATCCACATTAATCCTGACCCGGCGGGCCCTGAGTGTGTCTCTGTTCTGTCAGAGAAACATACGTTTTGTCTCTGAATAAGACATAAACTTGGATATGATTTATTAGCACTTGTGGCGTCTGCTTTGTCTCCATAAATGTGTAATAGTAGCATTTCCATGAGCCAAAAAGTTGAGTTGAGAGAGAGAGAGAGACTTTGGTCTCTCTGGTCTGTATCTCTGGTCTGTATCTCTGGTCTGTATCTCTGGTCTGTATCTCTGGTCTCTTTTTCTTGTTGCTCTCTATCTCTGGTCTGTCTCTCTTATTGGTCACTCACTCTGTGGTCTCTCTCTAGTCTCTCTCTGGTCTCTCTCTCTCTGGTGTCTCTCTCTCTGGTGTCTCTCTCTGGTCTCTCTCTCTCTGTTGTCTCTCTGGTTTCTCTCTGGTCACTCACTCTTCGGTCTCTCTCTCCTCTAGTCTCTCTCTGGTGTCTCGTTCTGGTCTCTCTCTGGTCTCTCTCTGGTCACTCACTCTTAGGTCTCTCTATGGTCTCTCTGGTCTCTCTCTCTAAATCATTTGCTAATACATTTGTCATATATTATAAGCTGCTCAGACTTCTGCTTCTTGAATGTGACCGTGGTCCGTGGTCTGTTCAGTGCCTCCGTTTGGCGTCTGCTCCTGATGAATGTAAAGAGGAGATTCTGCCCGTTGAGCTGAAGATGGGATTTCCCAGTTTTCCCTAAACGCACCCTGGAGTCGCTGCTTTTGATGATCAATGCTCTTTGACTTTTGCAGAGCAAAGAGACGGGAGAGAGATGGCTCCATGTTTTAAGATAATTACAGTCAGAGATAGTGAGAAAGATGAATTCATTTAGAAAAAGTACAAGGAAAGAAAATCCCCCCTTGTGTTTGATTATTATGTATCAACACTTATGGACTTTATGGACCAATGTGTTTTCTGTTTCATCTCTTGTGTTTGAACTGATTCTCTGATCTGGTTTTTGTAAAGTCCTCTGAGATCACTACTGTTGTGATTTAGGGCTATACACAAACACATTGAATTGATTGAATACATTTTTATACTCTGCCACCGTGAGATCAGCAATAAAAAAAACATATCTGATGGTAAACGTGTTGCCTCATATTCAGATTCAGATTCATTTATTTGCCATTTGTAGTAGGTTTTTCCTGTGAATAGTTGACAATTTGGCGAATTTGGATCCAGCCCAAGAGGAGCCGAGCACATGTCCGCAGCCTCAGGGAAACACCGACCTCCCACTGTGTGTCCTGCTGCTTCTGTTGCTGCGTAGACAAAAGCACATCCCAGCTCCTGTTTAGCTCCTGTTTAGCTCCTGTTTAGCTCCTGTTTAGCTCCTGTCACTTTTCCTCCATGTCACGTCCAGATAATACTGTGCAGCTGTTGAGGTGGAAGCGCCTCCCAGCCCCAGGTTTGGCCGTGGCCTAGAGCGGATCCTCCACGGTCATTTGTCACTTTGAATATTTGATGATGGAGTTTTGGCTCGGGCCTCAGTGCAGCGAGAGAGAGAGTGAGTGAGAGAGAGAGTGAGTGAGAGAGAGAGAGTGAGAGAGAGAGAGAGACAGGACTCGGCTTCGCACTTGTTGAAGCGGCCGCACAAGACGGAGGCAGTGGTTTATTCAGTCTTTATCAGACACAAGCAGCTGAAGTGAGGCTGAAACACATGAAACAAGAGCAGTTTGAATGTGTAGAGTAGGATGTGTATGTTCATTGGTGTGTGTGCGTGTGTGCGTGTGTGTGTGTGTGTGCGTGTGCGTGTGTGTGTGTGTTTGTCAAAACCTTCTGTTTTTCCGATGAAGGGACGGACGTGGCTAACGCTAACACACTCATCGAGAAAAATACCAAATGATAGAAAGAGAGGGACACAGAGAGAGAGAGAGAGACAAAACAAAAAGGGAGCGAGATAGAGAGACAAAAACAGAGAGACAATGAGAGAGAGAGACACACACAGAGAGATAGACACACACAGAGAGATAGACACACACAGAGAGACATACACAGAGAGATAGAGAGACACACACAGAGAGATAGACACACACAGAGAGACATACACAGAGAGATAGAGAGACACACACAGAGAGATAGAGAGACACACACAGAGAGATAGAGAGACACACAGAGTGATAGAGACCCACACAGAGAGAGACAGAGATAGGGAGAGGGATAGAGCGACACACACACACCACACACAGAGACAATGACAAAGAGAGAGAGATAGAGACAAAGAGAGAAAGAGAAGAGGGATAGACACACACACAGCAAGAGAAAGAGAGAAACAGAGGGAGACATAGTCAGAGACAAAGAGAGAGACACAGACAGACAGAGAGAGAGCAGCAGAAAGAAAGAGAGACAAAGAGGGCAGAGAGATTGAGATATTCAGAAAGAGAGAGAGTATGAAGACCTGTTCTATGCAGTAAAATGAATCAGTCGCTGCACAGGCGCCTCGTCAGCAGCAGTGGGATTTTCAGACGCTAATGTCCATTATACTTACAGCCTCAGAAACGCCGCTCTGAGTCCTCTCTGCCCCGGGGCAGCTGTGGCTCTGTGAGTTTGCCTCCTGTGCTTCTTCAGTCGGACAGAAAAGAACACTCTCTCTCAGCAGGAGGATTTTCTGGATGATTTCATGTTGAGCAGACGAATCCATCCAACCTGAAACTGCCCTGTGCTCTCACTGATGGCTGCTCCGAGCTCAGGGAGAACCAGAGAGAGTGAAGTTAAAGCTTGGGTACCCAACTTTTAAGACAGAAACATGAAACATGACAGGACCACCTTCTCTCAGCCAATCAGCTCTCAGCCCAAAGAGTCCAACAGTGACTCTCAGCGCTCTTTCTTTCACACATATGCAAAACATGTTCCCAGAGGATCTTTCCGTTGAGTCAAACCATATGCGTTATTTACATGTTTCCCAGTTTATTTTTGTACAGCATTAAATCACAGCAGCAAAAGAAATATGTTAATTATTTAATTTTGTTTCGATGAATCTGAAGAAAACCAGTATTTGTAAATCCATCATTCAAACGGGCCAAACTACGTATAAAAATCACATTATATCACGAGTGCATTCTCTCTGTGCGCGTGAGACAAGAGCCTGGTCCGGACGTGATAAACAACCTCCACTCAAGACAAGGAGCCATTTCCCTTCAAAAAAAAACCCTATCATTTATTGCCGGGAAAATGACACTTTATGATTGGGTGACGGCGGAAAACACGACGAGACGAGAGGAGAATCTCGCAGACTGTTCAAAACCCAATCTACGCTCGCTAATAAAAGGAGGAATGGAAAGATGGCCCCCGGCTTTTATCAAGTGCCGCAGATAATTAGCATTGTTACGAGAGAGTGGAGGCTGACAGCGAATGAGCACCTGCACGAACAAAGAGAGAGGAGGCTGTCGAGATAAAATCATGTATATACTGTTTCTTTGTGAGTGAGATTCTTAAAGAGAGAGGTTTGGAAAAAGCCAGCACCAATTAGACCTGGCGGACCTCCAGAGGCAGTCATCCGAGTCTCAGGTGTTTGAATGGAAGAGAGATGTAAAAGAGATAATATTAAAAAGTCAAGTCTTGAGTCCAGGAAAAGAAAGAAAAAAAAAACATAATAATGTTAATTTTTGTGTGCGGGAAAGAAAGTACAATGTGGGGAAGTTTAGAGCCGAGAAGTTCCAGAAAAAGACCTTATTTAGACGTGTCTTAGTCCTGCTTTAGGCCTGCTTAAGTTCCACTTTAGTCCTGCTTTAGACCTGCTTAAGTTCCGCTTTAGACCTGCTTTAGTCCTGCTTTAGACCTGCTTAAGTTCCGCTTTAGTCCTGCTTTAGTCCTGCTTTAGACCTGCTTTAGACCTGCTTTAGACCTGCTTTAGACCTGCTTTAGACCTGCTTTAGTCCTGCTTTAGACCTGCTTTAGTCCTGCTTTAGACCTGCTTTAGACCTGCTTTAGTCGTGCTTTAGACCTGCTTTAGACCTGCTTAAGTTCCGCTTTAGTCCTGCTTTAGTCCTGCTTTAGACCTGCTTTAGACCTGCTTTAGACCTGCTTTAGTCCTGCTTTAGACCTGCTTTAGTCCTGCTTTAGACCTGCTTTAGTCTTGATTTAGACCTGCTTTAGTCCGGCTTTAGACCTGCTTTAGACCTGCTTTACTCTGGCTTTAGACCTGCTTTATTCCTGCTTTAGTCCTGCTTTAGACTTGATTTAGACCTGCTTTATTCCTGCTTTAGTCCTGCTTTAGACTTGATTTAGACCTGCTTTAGTCCTGCTTTAGTCCTGCTTTAACCTTGATTTAGACCTGCTTTAGTCCTGCTTTAGACCTGCTTTAGTCCTGCTTTAGTCTTGAGTTAGACCTGCTTTAGTCCGGCTTTAGACCTGCTTTAGACCTGCTATAGACCTGCTTTAGTCCGGCTTTAGTCCTGCTTTAGTCTTGATTTAGACCTGCTTTAGCCCTACTTTAGACTTGCTTTAGACCTGCTTTAAGGGGCTGGTGCTATGTGTACTGGGTGCAGCTCTGACTGCCACCCCCCCGACCCAGAAATGGATTAAGGGGAAGAAAATGGATGGATGGATGGATAGACCTGCTTTAGTCCTGCTTTAGTCTTCATTTAGACCTGCTTTAGTCCTGCTTTTGACCTTCTTTAGTGTTACTTTAGTCCTGATTCCCCTGGTCTTTCTTGTTGACGTCTTTCAGACCTTACCTCACACGATGACATCCACTGGTTCAGTCCTGGTTCAGTCCTGGTCCAGTCCTGGTCCAGTCCTGGTTCAGTCCTGGTCCAGTCCTGGTCTAGTCCTGGTCCAGTCTTGGCCTTGTCCTGGTTCAGTCCCTGGTTCCTTACATACTTCTGTCCTAACATCTCAGAGATAGTACTCCAGGTTTTCATGAAGATAACAGCGGTTCTGGTCTGTGAGGCTGAAGTGTGTCTCCTGGAGCCTGAGGTCAGAGGTCAGAGGTGTGTGATGGTGCGAGCGAGATGGAGCTGGTGCAGTGGAGCGTGAAACCAGTGAGTTTGTGCTGGGCTGCCTCGTCTCCCACGGAGCAGCCAGTGTCCAAGGTCAAAGGTCACGACAGCTGCACAGACCCCACTCCACAGATACTCACCTGTTTCACGTTAAAGCTGGAGTTTGAACTTTCAACACATTAAAGTAAGAGAGAGAGAGACAGAGAGAGAGAGAGAGACAGAGAGAGAGACAGAGAGAGACGGAGAGAGACAGAGACAGAGAGAGAGAGAGAGAGGGAGGGAGAGAGAGACAGAGACAGAGAGAGGGAGAGAGAGAGGGAGAGAGAGGGAGAGAGAGAGACAGAGAGAGAGAGACAGAGAGAGAGACAGAGAGAGAGAGAGAGAGACAGAGAGAGAGAGACAGAGAGAGAGACAGAGAGAGAGAGAGAGAGACAGATAGAGAGAGAGACAGAGAGAGAGAGAGAGAGACAGAGAGAGAGACAGAGACAGAGAGAGGGAGAGAGAGAGACAGAGAGAGAGAGACAGAGAGAGAGAGAGACAGAGACAGAGAGAGAGAGGGAGGGAGAGGGAGTGAGAGAGAGACAGACAGAAAGAGAGAGAGACAGATAGAGACAAGGTGAGATACAGAGAGAGAAAAAGATAGAGCCAGAGACAAAGAGAGAGGATGGAATAGAATCCATCCAACTCACTAGTTGTGTATTTTTGTCCACTTTCACATCTCTAGATCAACGTTTTCAGACAGAAATGTGAAAAATCGAGGACCGCCTTCTCCCAGCCAATCAGCTCTCAGCCAATCAGCTCTCAACCAACCAGCTCTCAGCCAATCAGCTCTGAGCCAAGACTGAAGCAGAGACTCAATTTTAAAGTCTGTAATGCCACAGTCATATTTTCCCTGAGGTGTAAGTAGTAAGTAAGCTTTTATTTATATACCGCCTTTTCACTGCACATCGGAGTCTCAAAGCGGTTTACAATTGTTATTTTTTTGGGAGTGCCAGTACAGGAGGCACATGCCATACCTATTGTACATATTTTTAGTGGTAGGGGAAACCGGAGCACCCGGAGGAAACCTACGCAGACACGGGGAGAACATGCAAACTCCACTCAGAAAGGCCCTGGTCCAACCGGGATTTGAACCCAGGACCTTCTTGCTGAGAGGCGAGAGTGCTATCCACTCAGCCACCGTGCCTGCCCAGGTGTAAAACAGACACAGGTCTAAACAACACAGCAGCCTTTCCAACTATCATAGGTCGACACTTCGAAGCAACTCCAGTCGTGTCCTTGGTCCTCCTCACACTGATGAAACTTGATCTTATTATTATTCTTTATGTTTTGTGTTTTGGTTTTGGATGTTTATTAATTGCTGTAGTCGACTTTGGTCCAGCCGAGGACAATGCAAATGAGCTCCGGCTCCTCTTCAGCATAATGACACGGACATTCTGCTGGTTTACCATTGACGTTTGTGAATATAGATATTTAGCAGCAGTGTTAATAACTCCCAGAGCAGTCAATTTGACGGCTTTTTGTTTTGGAACTGTAATGACTCATATGTGCGCTCCGTAACTTTGTGAGTTTTTCCGTAACTTTGTGAGTTTTTCCGTAACTTTGTGAGTTTTTCCGTAACTTTTGTGATTTTTTTTTTTTGTGATTTTTTTTTTTTTATGTCTGGAGTTCTAACTTTAATCCCGGAGCAGTCATTTAGACCCTCAGTGACCAACATTCTTTGGCAGTCAAGCCATCGAAGGTACGGGTACTCTCCAAGGGACTAGTTCTGGACTGGCTCTGGTTCAGCTTGGTTTTCCACCTGAGAGGAGGCGTTACTATAGCAACACAATGTTTACTTAGCATCAGTTAGCGTTTAGCCTCTAACATTAGCCTTTAAACAAACAGTTTTTCCTGTTTTTCAAGTCGTATTCACTGTTTTTATCACTTAATAAATCACTTGAATAAAAAACAAATAAATAATTACTGAAATATGGTGAAGAACCAAACCTTTTTGCAGGACATTTCTCTGACGTGGCGTCTCTGGGAGTCTTGGTGTTAATTGGGGAAAACACATTGGAAGGGAATGTGGAACTAGTTTAAACTGGTTTTGTGATGGTCTGTCTTCTTTCCCGAGTCCTTGTTAGTAGATAGTATAGACGGCGGTAGAGAGCAAGTGGTGAAAAGGTGGTACTGCACCCTAAAATCCCCAGAAAAGAGACGGCGCTCTTGAGCAAGTGGTGAAAGGTGTTACTGCACTTTGTTTTTCAATGAGTTAGCTTCTGTTGGCCTGTGTGTGTGTGATAATGCTTTCACAGTTGTCTAAAGTGTTTTATGATCACGGTGTATTCTAAAACAAGCAGTTAGGTCAATAAACTAATTAATCTACAGGTCCTCCCTGTTAACGACACGTGTGTGTGTCTGATAGTGATGAGCGGTTGGGAGGTCGTACTAGCAAATCAGAATGGGGCTTTGTCGTCTTCTGCTTTGTCTAAAATGTCAGTGCATAAGGTTGTGATGTGAAGTACAGAATTGAGATTTTATACTCTCCGTAAACTGCTGCCTCGGGGTAAACAACAGAGAAAAGGACAAACAACTGGAATGAATGTTGTCTATGCAGCTCCAAACCTGCTCAGACCTGCATAGCCTCAGAACAAGAACTGTTCCTCGGGTCGACTCATACTCCATGGCAGGCTTTATTAATGTTTTTTTTCCCTTGGTGTATATATATAAGTTCAGCCTTTTTTTTCTTAGGAGAAACAAGAAATGCTGCCTTATACAAAGGCTCTTTCTTTTTCCATTTCAAATATTGTGCTATGATTTTTGTGTCAGGTCCAGTGGGTGGCAAATGCAGTAATCAGAACAATTCTTTTCCACCTAAAATGACCCACACTACCGATTTAGATATTTCCAACCTTTATAGTCTTCAGATAACAAGTTGGATTAAAGATGTAGTGAGACTCGAAAGGCCTAGGTTACTTGCGCGGCGTGGCTTACTTTAGCGGTTGCGGTGGTCCTAAGTTAGCACAATTGTCGTTATACTGGCGGCGTTCCCTTTCGGAGTTTTGAGGAGAATGTTGTAATCCTCAACAAACCACTTGAGGGCGGATAACAACAGGAGCTGGTCCCATTTTACCTTGCTACTTTGTCCTCTTCAGAAGACACAATAGCAAACTAAGTGTTTTAGCTCATCTACACGTATATATATGTTAGATAGTCCTCAGTCTCTGTATTTCAGGCTCTGAGCCAATGCTTTTATTCGAAGTTTAAAAAAAAAAAAACACAAAAGCTCTCTGGCCATAGTGCCTCGTCCATGTCCCGGCTGCAGACGCTTAATGCTTCTTCCATACACACACACGGACCAATAACTGCGGTGATTTCATTGGGCGACCGTACGTAGTTTGAATTGTTCTTTGGCTAAATCTATCGCTGTAATCTTTAAAGGAGAAATTTTTTAAAGTTTCGCGGCTCCAAGAGTGAACAAAGCTTTTCTTTCTCCATAATAAGAGCTCATTTGTGTTTGTTATCTGCGTGGATCCGCCTCACGAGGCCCCTGACTGTGCAGCCTCCACCTGCTGAACTTAGATTCAAACTCACAGAAACAAACAGTTCTGACGTCACGCTGCGCTCTTTATAAAACCTTCAGCTCGGATTATTATCACGGAATGTGTGGAAATGAATCGTTTTCTGTTAAACTTGGCTACGACTGTTTCCTCATTTAGAACAGGCCTGGATTCTGGCTCCAATCTTGGCTAATATCAGGAACCTGGCTCTAGTCCTGGGTCTACAGCCTCAGTCCTGGGTCTACAGCCTCAGTCCTGGATCTACAGCCTCAGTCCTGGATCTACAGCCTCAGTCCTGGGTCTACAGCCTCAGTCCAGGGTCTACAGCCTCAGTCCTGGGTCTACAGCCTCAGTCCTGGGTCTACAGCCTCAGTCCTGGATCTACAGCCTCAGTCCTGGATCTACAGCCTCAGTCCTGGGTCTACAGCCTCAGTCCAGGGTCTACAGCCTCAGTCCTGGATCTACAGCCTCAGTCCTGGGTCTACAGCCTACAACATCTGTTAGATTGGACCCAGACTTTAGAATCTAGTGACACAGGATGCAGATCAGACCGTACCATATGTTCTCAATAAGATTTAAGCTGCTATTACCACGGTTTACTCGGTTAGTTCCATGTTCCACAAGTTTTATTCACCGTCCTGACAGAAAGTGTGTCTCTGTGTGTTACAGGATGGTGGAATACTCGCTGGATTTACAAAACGTCAACTTCACCGCCATCAGGACGGTGCGGGTACTGCGGCCGCTCAAAGCCATCAACAGAGTCCCAAGTAAGTCTCCTCCTTTTGTTGTTTTCAACCTTAAATGTTTCGACTCCCCTCCAACGACCTTATATGGAAGGACAATGGTTCTATTGACTTACATGTAAAAGTAAACTCCTCTATCCCAGTCACCGTTTGTGTCCACATGTCTCAGCTCTCTCTGGGATCCTGGATGTTTTTCGTTTGCGATTGTCTTTGTAAGTCCAGATATGAGCCATATAAGGTCCTGAAGATCCAGGACTGAGACTGTAGATCCAGGACTGAGACTGCAGACCCAGGACTGAGGCTCTAGACCCAGGACTGAGACTGTAGATCCAGGACTGAGGCTGTAGATCCAGGACTGAGACTGTAGATCCAGGACTGAGGCTGTAGATCCAGGACTGAGGCTGTAAATCCAGGACTGAGACTGTAGATCCAGGACTGAGACTGTAGACCCAGGACTGAGACTGTAGACCCAGGACCGAGGCTGTAGATCCAGGACTGAGGCTGTAGATCCAGGACTGAGGCTGTAGACCCAGGACTGAGGCTGTAGATCCAGGACTGAGACTGTAGATCCAGGACTGAGGCTGTAGACCCAGGACTGAGGCTGTAGATCCAGGACTGAGGCTGTAGATCCAGGACTGAGACTGTAGATCCAGGACTGAGACTGTAGATCCAGGACTGAGGCTGTAGATCCAGGACTGAGACTGTAGATCCAGGACTGAGACTGTAGACCCAGGACTGAGGCTGTAGATCCAGGACTGAGGCTGTAGATCCAGGACTGAAAAGACATGAAACATACAATGGGACAACTCCACAGAGAAAGCAATCCTGAACCAAACCCATTATCCCATCATCCATCCCTCTGAGTGCCTTTCCTGAGTCTGTGTCCCTGTTTTCGGTCTTTGTCTGCCTCGTTCTAAACACTTGTCAAACTCATTAAAACCCGTCACTCTCAGATCTCCACAAACGGATCTAAAGCGTGGTGTGTGTCATTATGAAGGAGTTTGGGTTTCTCCAGTCTACATCCTCTTCTGTCGTTGCTCCTCTTCAAGACATCATCACAGGAGTTATACAGGAGTTATACTGGAGTTATGCATTAGTTATACAGGAGTTATACTGGAGTTATACTGGAGTTATACTGGAGTTATGCATTAGTTATACAGGAGTTATACAGGAGTTGTACAGGAGTTGTACAGGAGTTGTACAGGAGTTGTACAGGAGTTGTACAGGAGTTGTGCAGGAGTTGTGCAGGAGTTGTGCAGGAGTTGTGCAGGAGTTATGCAGGAGTTATGCAGGAGTTATGCAGGAGTTATACAGGAGTTGTGCAGGAGTTGTGCAGGAGTTGTGCAGGAGTTGTGCAGGAGTTGTACAGGAGTTGTACAGGAGTTGTACAGGAGTTATGCAGAGTTATTATGCAGGAGTTATGCAGGAGTTATGCAGGAGTTATGCAGGAGTTATGCAGGAGTTGTGCAGGAGTTGTGCAGGAGTTGTACAGGAGTTGTGCAGGAGTTATGCAGGAGTTGTGCAGGAGTTATGCAGGAGTTATGCAGGAGTTATGCAGGAGTTGTGCAGGAGTTATACAGGAGTTGTGCAGGAGTTGTGCAGGAGTTATGCAGGAGTTTATGCAGGAGTTATACAGGAGTTATACAGGAGTTATACAGGAGTTATACAGGAGTTGTGCAGGAGTTGTGCAGGAGTTGTGCAGGAGTTGTGCAGGAGTTATGCAGGAGTTATGCAGGAGTTATGCAGGAGTTATACAGGAGTTATACAGGAGTTATACAGGAGTTGTGCAGGAGTTATGCAGGAGTTATGCAGGAGTTATGCAGGAGTTATGCAGGAGTTGTGCAGGAGTTGTGCAGGAGTTATACTGGAGTTATACAGGCTCTGCTCTCACAAGTGGTGGGAAAGAGGAGATTCAGGAGGCTGTACGCATGGTTTATGACTTGTAGCAGTTAGGAAAGGTAGGGAGGTATGTAGGTTTCTCTGTGGAGGGAGGAGAGAGAGGGAGATAGAGAAAGGAGAGGCAGGAGGTAGAAGATATAGAAAAGAGATAGGAGGGGGAGGGAGGAAAGAGGAAAGAGAGGGAGGTTGCTAAGGGAAGCTGGAGGTTCCCTAGCAAATGAGGCCATCTGATTGGTCCTTCCTTATAAGGCTCATTTCTGGATTCACAAAGACAATATCACACTATAAATGCTAGGATCAAAAAAGAGGGCTAAACCACAGACTTTATAAACCTAAAATGGTGTGACATAAACAGATACTGAGGAGCAAGTTGGAGCTAAACTTGGTCCATGAGCACTTCCCTACTGGGCTTCATGAGCTCGCGGGTTAGCATCGTCCGTCTGTCTGTGTGTCTATGATACCAGACTTTCATTCGTTCGGAGCGTAGTGGCCCTCCATAATTGGAAATCCTGTTAATTGGAGTTTTAATTGTTTTGTTGTATGCGGAGTTGATTTGAAGCCGGGACTAAAACTCTCTGGGATTGGTTTGGCACAACATCATTTAATCACGAAACCATGTTAAATAATAATGTTAAATAATAATTGAAAAACATGATTTGTGGAACAGGTCTCCGTCTTTTGTGATGTAGTATGTGGTGTTGGACAAGTTACTTTAAAAACATAATCCATGATGTGTGACTTGTTACTGTCATGTGTTACTATAATATTACACTATTAAACTATTCAAGTTTTGGGATGTCTTACATTACTGCATTACAGTATTTACATTACTTTTCTAACTCGTTGTATATCAACATCTGTATATACAGTGCCTTGCGAAAGTATTCGGCCCCCTTGAACCTTTCAACATTTCACCACATTTCAGGCTTCAAACATAAAGATATAAAAATTACATTTTTTGTCAAGAATCAACAACAAGTGGGACACAATCGTGAAGTGGAACAAAATTTATTGGATAATTTAAACTTTTTTAACTAATAAAAAACTGAAAAGTGGGGCGTGCAATATTATTCGGCCCCTTGCGCTAATACTTTGTAGCGCCACCTTTTGCTGCAATTACAGCTGCAAGTCGCTTGGGGTATGTCTCTATCAGTTTTGCACATCGAGAGACTGGAATTCTTTCTCATTCTTCCTTGCAAAACAGCTCGAGCTCAGTGAGGTTGGATGGAGAGCGTTTGTGAACAGCAGTCTTCAGCTCTTTCCACAGATTCTTGATTGGATTCAGGTCTGGACTTTGACTTGGCCATTCTAACACCTGGATACGTCTATTTGTGAACCATTCCATTGTAGATTTGGCTTTATGTTTTGGATCATTGTCCTGTTGGAAGATAAATCTCTGTCCCAGTCTCAGGTCTTTTTCAGACTCCAACAGGTTTTCTTCCAGAATGGTCCTGTATTTGTCTCCATCCATCTTCCCATCAATTTTAGCCATCTTCCCTGTCCCTGCTGAAGAAAAGCAGGCCCAAAGCATGATGCTGCCACCACCATGTTTGACAGTGGGGATGGTGTGTTCAGGGTGAAGAGCTGTGTTGCTTTTACGCCAAACATATCGTTTTGCATTGTGGCCAAAAAGTTAGATTTTGGTTTCATCTGACCAGAGCACCTTCTTCCACATGTTTGGTGTGTCTCCCAGGTGGCTTGTGGCAAACTTTAAACAAGACTTTTTATGGATATCTTTGAGAAATGGCTTTCTTCTTGCCACTCTTACATAAAGGCCAGATTTGTGCAGTGCACGACTGATTGTTGTCCTATGGACAGACTCTCCCACCTCAGCTGTAGTTATCTGCAGTTCATCCAGAGTGATCATGGGCCTCTTGGCTGCATCTCTGATAAGTCTTCTCCTTGTTTGAGATGAAAGTTTGGAGGGACGGCCGGCTCTTGGTAGATTTGCAGTGGTCTGATACTCCTTCCATTTCAATATAATTGCTTGCACAGTGCTCCTTGAAATGTTTAAAGCTTGGGAAATCTTTTTGTATCCAAATCCGGCTTTAAACTTCTCCACAACAGTATCTCGGACCTGCCTGGTGTGTTCCTTTGTCTTCATGGTTCTCTCTGCGCTTTAAACAGAACCCTGAGACTATCAAAGAGCAGGTGCATTTATACGGAGACTTGATTACACACAGGTGCATTCTATTTATCATCATCAGTCATTTAGGACAACATTGGATCATTCAAAGATCCTCACTGAACTTCTGGAGTGAGTTTGCTGCACTGAAAGTAAAGGGGCCGAATAATATTGCACGCCCCACTTTTCAGTTTTTCATTTGTTAAAAAAGTTTAAATTATCCAATAAATTTCGTTCCACTTCACGATTGTATCCCACTTGTTGATTCATGACAAAAAATTCAAATTTTATTTTTTTATGTTTGAAGCCTGAAATGTGGCGAAATGTTGAAAGGTTCAAGGGTGCCGAATACTTTCGCAAGGCACTGTATACATTTGTGTATAGATGGACGATGAAGCCTAATAGAAAAGTGCTCATGGACAAATATTTAGCTCATTCCTCTCTGGCTCCTGTTGATTAACATGTAAAAGGACGCTCCACTTTCTCAGTAACTGTTTGTTACACACAATTCTGGGCTTAAAAAATGTGTTGTTTAGTGCTCTCCATGATCCTTGGGTTTTCAAAATGAAACCACCTCAATCCTGAACAAACCTGAACAAAGCCTCTCTCTCACTTCAGCTTCAGACTTTTTCCCTTTTAAAGAAGTGTTGCTTTGTTCCATTGATCAAACCAGTCTCAGTGGTTTAGTCTGGAGGACATCTCTGCATCTCCTGGTCCCACCTCAGACCCTCCAAACTCAACCTCCCTCTGCACAGGCTTTTATTCTGGGATGTTTGATGGTCTAAATAATGAGCTGTTTGTTCACAAGGCTTTCGTCACAAAGGTTTCCTGCAGAGGACGCTCCTTTTAAAGTCAAATACTAACTTTCAAACCAAGCAAAAAGAAGAGGAAGAGTTCAGAAACATAGGTTGCTTATTTAAGTTGTATAGTTTATGTAAGTTTGTATTGGAGTCATCAAAGAAGCTCGGGCCTCTGTCATAAGCAGTGGTCAGGGAAGTACAGAGAGAGAGAGACCAGAGAGGGACCGGAGGGAGACCAGAGAAAGACTACAGTGAGACTGGAGAGGGACAAGAGAGGGACCAGAGAGAGACTAAAGGATAAAGAGGATAGAGTGAGAGACCATAGAGAGAAACTAGAGAGAGAGACCAGAGACTGACCAGAGAGGGACCAGAGAGAGAGCAAAGAGTGACTAAAGAGAGACCAGAGAGAGACCAAAGAAATACCAGAGAGAGACTAAAGAGAGACCAAAGAGAGACCAGAGAGAGACCAGAGAGAGACCAGAGAGAGACCAGAGAGAGACCAGAGAGAGACCAAAGAGAGACCAGAGAGAGACCAGAGAGAGACTAAAGAGAGACCCTAGAGAGACCCAAGAGAGACCGGAGAGAGACCCTAGAGACTAAAGAGAGACCAGGGAGAGACTAAAGAGAGACCAGAGAGAGACCAGAGAGAGACCCGAGAGAGACCCGAGAGAGACCAAAGAGAGACCCTAGAGAGACCCAAGAGAGACCGGAGAGAGACCAAAGAAAGACCAGAGAGAGACTAAAGAGAGACCAGAGAGAGACTAAAGAGAGACCAGAGAGAGACTAAAGAGAGACCAGAGAGAGACCAGAGAGAGACCAGAGAGAGACCAGAGAGAGACCAGAGAGAGACCAAAGAGAGACCAGAGAGAGACTAAAGAGAGACCCGAGAGAGACTAAAGAGAGACCCGAGAGAGACCAAAGAGAGACCCTAGAGACTAAAGAGAGACCAGAGAGAGACTAAAGAGAGACCCTAGAGACTAAAGAGAGACCCTAGAGACTAAAGAGAGACCAGGGAGAGACTAAAGAGAGACTAAAGAGAGACCAGATAGTGCTACACAAATATGGGAAGACCTTGCAATCTCCACTCAGAAAACCCCTTTTCCAACCAGCGTTGAACGGGAAGATAAGATACACTTTATTGATCTCACAATGGAGATTTCAATGCAAAGTCTATGGTGACGAGCGTTCGAGCGTCAAAACGCACGGACCTCTCGGCACGCACGCACAGACTGTTCAGTAGAGACGCACAGACTGTTCAGTAAACACGCACGGACTGTTCAGTAGAGACGCACGGACTGTTCAGTAGAGACGCACAGACTGTTCAGTAGAGACGCACAGACTGTTCAGTAAACACGCACGGACTGTTCAGTAGAGACGCACAGACTGTTCAGTAAACACGCACGGACTGTTCAGTAGAGACGCACGGACTGTTCAGTAGAGACGCACAGACTGTTCAGTAGAGACGCACGGACTGTTCAGTAGAGACGCACAGACTGTTCAGTAGAGACGCACGGACTGTTCAGTAGAGACGCACGGACTGTTCAGTAGAGACGCACAGACTGTTCAGTAGAGACGCACAGACTGTTCAGTAGAGACGCACAGACTGTTCAGTAGAGACGCACGGACTGTTCAGTAGAGACGCACAGACTGTTCAGTAGAGACGCACAGACTGTTCAGTAGAGACGCACGGACTGTTCAGTAGAGACGCACAGACTGTTCAGTAGAGACGCACAGACTGTTCAGTAGAGACGCACGGACCTGGCGGGAAAGTCAAAGGGGAGGAGCAGGAGCGAAAAATCGACGCCCACAGGAGATGGATTCTGCTCATCCTTTCCTTGGGACGTTCGTGCAGCGACCAATCAGAGAGCAGTAAAGTGGTCACGGGGACATTAGCGGACTGAGCGAGCAGACTGAAAACTTCACCAGAACTCAAACCAGGGTTGACAATGGGGGACTCTGTGCTTGTGAAAATATGCGTTGTTATGCTCCCGTGACTTTATGCAACTGCTTCGAGTGTGTTCACCGATGCGGAAATACCGTTTAATAATATGAAAAAGCGTATGGCGCACCTCCGTGAACACATACTACTGTTATATAAAGTCACCTCCGTGAACACATACTACTGTTATATAAAGTCACCTCCGTGAACACATACTACTGTTATATAAAGTCACCTCCGTGAACACATACTACTGTTATATAAAGTCACCTCCGTGAACACATACTACTGTTATATAAAGCCCGTGGAAGGTCTCTGAGCAAAGACACGCTGCTAAGCTGCATATTGGAGAAGATCTGTACACAAGAAGGCGCTAGCTAAACTCTGTTAGCATCATAGCCGGCCGGCTACTTCCGGCCCGTCCGGTGCGCGTCAGGACATCTCGGTGTGAAGACCTGTGCGTCTGAAAACTAGAGAATGTGCGTCTGGTGAGCGGGGCTTCAGCGTTTCAGCGTTGGCGGTCTGAAAGCACCATAACACTTAGTTCCCAGGACAGATTAGTCAGCTGCACTCCACCACGTTGTCAAACTATACACTCTTTGGTACGTTGTGATGTCACATGAGCACAACCTGAAGCAAAGGGCACTCACTGAGTGGAATCCATCTTGTTCTAAATCCTGGTTTGGCTTTGACCTCTGAGGGTGTGAGCGATGAGCCAAACCCGGCCGACATGCCCAGCTTAACCCCGAGTCAGCAGCCTGCTCAGAGTAATGGGCCGTGCAGCACAATTAGAGCAGAGATTAGCTTTGATTAGCTCGTTATGATGATGCACTGGCTCTTGGCGGAGTCAGAGAGAGGGCTGTGCGTCTCTGTGTTTATTTATGAATGGAAAAAGGCGGTCTGCTGTTAGGACAGGACTTTTGAGACCAGGAAATGAACAAACAGGGGTTTTTTATGGTGGTGAACAATGGGAGTTGTGTATATTTAGGGAGCACCTGGAGGACACTTTTCTAACCACCTGCAGAAGTGAGAGAGAGCATGGATATCAAACCTGTTGGATGTAGGTCTGAGTGCTACTGCAGCTGTCAAAAGCTGTGCATTCACTGTAAAATAAAGGGGCAATGGGGAGACCAGAGATACAGAGACCAACAAGAGACCAGAGAGAGAGACCAGAGAGAGACCAACGAGAGACCAAACAGAGACCAGCAAGAGACTAGAAAGAGACCAAATAGAGAGACCAGAGAGAGAGAGACCAGAAAGAGACCAGCAAGAGACCAGAGAAAGACCAGAGAGAGAGAGACCAGAGAGAGACTAATGAGACACCAGAGAGAGACCAGAGAGAGACCAAAGAGAGACCAGAGAAAGACTAAAGAGAGACTAAAGATAAGATAAGATAGGATTTCCTTTATTCGTCCCACAGTGGGGAAATTTTGAGACCAGAAAGAGAGGCCAGAGAGAGACTCCAGAGAGACTAAAGAGAGACTAGAGAGAGACCAGAGAGAGAGACCAGAGAGAGACCAGAGAGAGACCAGAGAGAGAGACCAGAGAGAGAGAGTGAGACCAGAGAGTCATGTCTCTATAACAACATGGACTTTGCCTAACCTTTTGTTTTGTCCCTGCTGTGCTCCCGTAGGCATGCGTATCCTGGTGAACCTGCTGCTGGACACTCTCCCCATGTTGGGAAACGTGCTCCTCCTCTGCTTCTTCGTCTTCTTCATCTTCGGCATCATCGGCGTGCAGCTGTGGGCGGGGCTTCTGAGGAACAGGTGCTACCCCGAGCACAACTTCACGCTGTAAGTCTCTACCATCTCTCTATACGAGTTTATATGATTTTCCAAACTTTAATCACTGGTCACAAGAGTTTAACTTCAAACTACTACAAAATATCTGAAACAAGGTGGTTTCTAAATGTCATGTTTTATTGAATGAGAAAGCTGGTCAAACTAAGGTGAAGAATCCTGTATGTGAAAGTTGAAACAGAGGAAACTGTTTTGGTCATGTGTGGTCATCTGTTGTTACTTCCTGAATGGGTGTGGTCAGCTGTTGTTACTTCCTGAATGGGTGTGGTCAGCTGTTGTTACTACCTGAATGGGTGTGGTCAGCTGTTGTTACTTCCTGAATGGGTGTGGTCAGCTGTTGTTACTACCTGAATGGGTGTGGTCATCTGTTGTTACTTCCTGAATGGGTGTGGTCAGCTGTTGTTACTTCCTGAATGGGTGTGGTCAGCTGTTGTTACTTCCTGAATGGGTGTGGTCAGCTGTTGTTACTTCCTGAATGGGTGTGGTCATCTGTTGTTACTACCTGAATGGGTGTGGTCAGCTGTTGTTACTTCCTGAATGGGTGTGGTCAGCTGTTGTTACTTCCTGAATGGGTGTGGTCAGCTGTTGTTACTTCCTGAATGGGTGTGGTCATCTGTTGTTACTTCCTGAATGGGTGTGGTCAGCTGTTGTTACTACCTGAATGGGTGTGGTCAGCTGTTGTTACTTCCTGAATGGGTGTGGTCATCTGTTGTTACTTCCTGAATGTGTGTGGTCAGCTGTTGTTACTTCTTGAATGGGTGTGGTCATCTGTTGTTACTTCCTGAATGGGTGTGGTCAGCTGTTGTTACTTCCTGAATGGGTGTGGTCAGCTGTTGTTACTTCCTGAATGGGTGTGGTCATCTGTTGTTACTCCTGAATGGGTGTGGTCAGCTGTTGTTACTCCTGAATGGGTGTGGTCATCTGTTGTTACTCCTGAATGGGTGTGGTCAGCTGTTGTTACTCCTGAATGGGTGTGGTCAGCTTTTGTTACTTCCTGAATGGGCGTGTTCAGCTGATGTTTCTTATTTCTTGTTTATTTGGTTGGGACAGTGCATGTTTATGGGCTAATTTGCATCCGTCGTCCCACAGTCGCTTTCACAAACACACACCAATTCATCTTGAACTATTGGACATGTCTTTAGTGGTAGGCAAAACCGTAGCACCCAGAGAAAAGTTACGCAGACACAGGGAGAAAATGCAAACTCCACTTAGAAAGGCCCTGTTCCGACCTGGATTCAAACACAGGACCTTCTTGCTGAGAAGCGAGAGTGCTAACCACTCAGCCACCGTGGTCAGCCTGATTGCAGGTCACTCAGACTGACCACGCCTCCTCTCTCCCGCTGGTCTCTGAAGGAGGGTGTGCCATCTGTGTGGCAGGCGGAAGGCCCCTTCGTCCCGGGTGATGCTGTTGTTGCCCCGCTTTCTGATTTTAATGGCATGCGTTTGTGTTTTTGTATTTGTTATATATTTGTATTCGTTACTGTATATCCTATAACCAGAGCCCTGTCCCAATCCATATTTTTTCTTGCAGTCAACAGAAATGACTGGTGGTTATCCGGTTATGATTTGATTATTGGTCACTAAACCACATCAGGAAGTCCGAGGAGCCCCCAGAGAAGTCTGGGATCAGGGATTTGTTCATATTTTTTCAACTACAGTCAAAAACTTTAGTTCAGTTTTCCTTCTCTTGAGTTTGCGTGCGTAGAGAAGCCCAGTCCACATCAGGTGCAGGTTTTGATGTGATTTCCCCTGGACTCTCATGAACCGATGGAAGTCCAGACTGGGTTCAGGGTCCAGCCCCTCGTGCTCTGGTCTCATCAAAGTCCTGGAGCCAGAACACACAGGCTCTGATGAAACAGGTGCAGCCTCTGATTTCTATTGTGAGCAGACATCGACTCTGAGCCGGGATTTTCTAAGGTCTAATGGTGATTGCACTATTCTACATTATACATTCTTTGTCAGTGAGATCCTCTGAAGAAAGTTTATGTGTGAGATCCTTTTAAGTCAACTCTTCTCTACTCAACTCTTGGCTTCTCTGAACCTGTGCCTTCTTTAGTCCCTCATGGTGCTGTTTCTATCCAGGCCAAGCTGGTACTAAAGTGTTTGTCATGGCTTCCTAGAAATTTCCATGGAGACTGGTTTGTTGTGGGTAGATTTCTAGGATACAGTAATGGTAAGTCATTTCTAGGTAAGTGTAATGGAAACACAACCAGGTAGAGCAGAATAGAGTATAGTAGAGTATAGCGGAGTAGGGCGGTAGAAAAGGCTTTTGTTTGTAATAAAAAACTAAATTTCACGGTGCAACCCTGTGTCAGCCTGGGCATTTCTTAGTTCTCAAGTTTCTCCCGTCTCTGGAAGGGTTTCCTCTGGGTGCTTCAGTTTCTTCCACCGCCCAAAACAACCAACATAATGTAAAATCCTCCAGGGACTCGCCTCTTGCTGGGACTATAAGGAGCACAGGGCCCGGTCTCCTGCTGGTCCCAGAGTCAGGACTAAACATGGGGGGAAGCAGATTTTCAGATTCATGCAGCTAAAATCTGAACAGTGTTCCTGAAAATATGAGACAGGCTTCTTCTCGGCACGGTGGCTGAGTGGATAGCACTCTCGATTCTCAGCAAGAAGGTCCTGAGTTGGAATCCCGGTCGGAACAGGGCTTTTCTGAGTGGAGTTTGCATGTTCTCCCCGTGTCTGCGTAGGTTTCCTCCGGGTGCTCCGGTTTCCCCTACCATTAAAAACATGCACAATAGGTCTGAATGTAAATGAGAGAGTGAATGGATGGTGTTGATTGGAGCTGATGGTCCAGTGTGTTCGTCAACTCGCTTCCGTCTGCACCGAGTGTGGAATGATTGGAATAATATCTGAACTCTGAACATTGTAAAACGCTTTGGGTGACTTTGGCTACATAAATAAACATTACTTTCTTCTCTGACAAATCCAGGTTAAAACAGTTGTGTTTCTGCAACAACTGAAGGATTGTATCTTGAACCTTTTTAATGCTCTGTGATTATTCATGATTTGAATCTATTTCCTTGTTCTGTTATGCACTTTGAGCTGCCTCGTGGATCTCAAAGAGGCCAAGTAATCCTCCAAAACAGCTGATAATGACCCACAGGTGTCACATGACCCGGTACCACAGACTTCTCAGTCCAATGTTATGCTGAATGCTTTTACCTCGTCACCGTCGGGACATTATGGCACCTCTGTAACGCACTGTAATACTGTTGTATAAGCTTGTGTTGTTGAGAATGCCACGGTGTCTGCGTGAGAATGAGTGGCAGTGAGGAGCCTTTATCTCCCGTCGTCGAGTGTCCAGGGATCTTCTCAGTCAGAGCGCGACGGCTTTTATCTCACCGAGGAGAGAATCCAAAAACGCAACAGCAGCGTGCCGGCGATATGAGTGTGTTTCTGTGTCAATAACAGAGTCAGGGAGGCAGGACACACGAAGAAAACATGTGTGAGCTGCAGAGACCGAGCAGAGGGCGAGTCAGAGAGGTGCTACTGAGAGATGAGGCCGAGAAGGAGAGAGGAGAGGTCAAAAACACAAAACACACTGATGGAAAGGTGCTGCAAGATTTATGTACAGTATGTTTGTCTCTCTTCCCAATAGACCCCTTTACTGATTAACAAAGGTGACTGAGAGACTCTCTGGGCTTTCTCTTTAGTCTCTTTCCGGTTTCTATCAGGTCTTTCTCTCTGGTCTCTCTCTGGTGTCTCTAGTCTAGTCTCTCTCTCTGCTCTCTCTCTAGTCATTCTTTCTCATCTCTCTCTCTCTCTGGTCTCTCTCTGGTTGAACGAATGGAGACCAGACAGAGGGATCTCTCTCGTCTCTATCCGGTCTTTCTCTCTGGTCGCTCTCTGGCTGGTACCTCTCTCTGTTTTCTCTCTCTGCAGTCCCTCTCGTCTCTCTGTCTCACTCTGGAATCTCTCTGGAATCTCTCTTTGTGGTCCCTCTCTCTGGTCGCTCTCTCTCTGGCCTCTCTCTCCGGTCTCTTTCTCTGCAGTCCCTCTCTCCAATCTCTCCCTCTGGTTTCTCGCTCTGGTCTCTTTCTCTGGCCTCTCTCTGGTCGGTCTCTCACTCTGGTCTCTCTCTGTATTGTGTCTCTCTGGTCTCTCCTTCTGGTCTCTCTTTACCCTCTCTCTGGTCTCTTTCTCACATAGTTCTTAAAACACACATAGAAATAGCTAAAAAAAAAAAAAAACCTCCAGGTAAGTTTTCGATGAGAGACCAATGCTATAATTTTTACAAAAACAGTAGCTTTTGCAGATGTGTCCGTGTGACTGAAGAGGAGCCAGACCCGGAGCAGGTTTGATCTATTCCTGGATCTTTTTTTTATCCTCCTTCACCTTCTGGGCACTCATTACCTCCATGTGTCCGACGCACAGACATCTGCAGAGCCACGGACCAGGTTTAATTGGGGTTTTTGCTCCCGCTATCTGCCCAAAGACAAGTAAATAATAAAGAAACGGGCAGAATTATACCTGGCTAATTCCTCTAAAATTGAGAGCAGAGATCGGGCCGAGGTGGAAAAAGCTCTTGACATTTGATTTGTGTGCTGCAGATATTGCTTTGGGGGAGTTAGAGAACCTTGGTTTTGTCTTTCATCAACTCCTCAATTTATCAACAGTTTGGACAGCACGAAAACAAGCCGTATTCATTGTTTTCACGACATCTTTAACTGGGAACCAACTTTCTGCAGCTAAATCCAGATAAAAGACAGATTTTTTAAATAATTGGACTTAAAAACAAAGAGGGAACATTCTCGCCCACCTTTGCCCCTCCGGTTTGAGCACAGAGAAACCACAGTGTCATCATGTTTCCAGGGACAATACACTTTAAAGCTGGGGTACCTGACTTTCAAAGGCCTTTTTAATCATGTAATAATATCCATTTAGCTGCAGTAGATCCTCGCTCTCTCAAAACAGTTTGGTTCTCTTCTTTTCACCGCTAGGACGTCACAGCCTAATTACGGGCGTGGAGGTAATTAGATAATACTCAAG